TGTTGTTATAGGCCTGGCTGCTTTGATTAGCCAGGCTGGGCAAGGGGCAAGAGTAGAGGTGGTGGCCAGCAGTGGTCAAGCGCTTTGTCTACAATATCTGGTGTCACAGGCTGAAAGAGATCAAAACTTACTGGGCAAGGCGGAGGGCTGGATGTCTCTGCTCGATCCACTGTATCCAAAAAAGGAGAAAGCTCCCGGCGGATGGTCTCCACTTTAGATTTTAAAAATGCTGCAAATTGGTCGGGTGAGATACTAGAGGGAGGGAGGCCCGTCACTTCGACCAATTCCGGATAGGTTGCGGACTATATGGAAAAGTTCCGCCTGCTGATTTGAAGCCTTGCTTATCCGGTTAGCAAGGTGAGCTCAACTAGCAGCCCTTATCTTGGCAAGATAACGGTTAGTCGCGATCCTAACAGCTATCTTATTGTGATCCATTAGTTTCTGTCTCCAAATGCACTCTAGCCTTCTCATGGTTTTTGCTTCATCGCTCGTAGCTCCTGATTCAACCAGGGTGCTGGCCGAGCTCTGCATTGGAGAGGGCGTTTAGGAGCGATCGTGTCTACAGACCTGGTAGCTGCTGTGCACAAGCCATCAACCAGAGCCTCGACAGGAGTGCCAGCCAGTTCAACCGGAATCCTCTCTTTTGGTTAATAAAGGAGGTGGTCGATTTCCCTCCTAATTTGTAATAGTCAAAATCCTATTAATTAGGGCCACTAGGGTATCAAGCTAATCCCTGTAAATTCTGGGAGGTGAATTTATCCTCTCACTGAAAGGTCGAATCTGCATTTCCCATAGGAATGCATTGAAAACCATTTAATTCGTATCTGCTCTTTTCCGTCCATAGAAACTAATGGGAAGCTGCTATTCCGCCTTCTGCCACTAGTGGGGGATATTTTTTTCTTAGGTCAAGAAAAGTTCAGGAAAGGAGGAGGGGCAGGGAACAGTTTTAAAAGCATTTCTGAAATCTTTTTTTTTCAACGAAGCCAATTTTAAAGCATGTTTTAAAAAGCATGTTGTGCTGATTGACTCAGGCTTTGATAGCCAGAATGCCTGACCCACAGAATTCTTCAGCACAAAGAAACACAGGCAGGAGTCTTTTCGGTTCGTACGTCGATTCTTCGTTTGCAAGTCGAAATGGAATTTTGCGACCAGAGAAGTACGTAAGTCAAAAGGTTCGTATGTAGAACCGTTTGTAAGTCGAGACCCCACTGTAATTTTTAACAGTCAAAATCCTATTAATCAGGTCCACTGGTGTATTAAGCAATCCCTGTAAATTCTGAGAGCTAAATTTATCCTGTCACTGAAAGAATGTCAGTGTAGGCATTGCCTGTTGTGCGCTGATTCAGCTTGGCACACAGCGAACACGTCTGCTGACTTCTTCACTTCCAGCAATTCACCACTGAGATTTACAACC